GGTTGCAGAGATTTCAGATCTTGCTACGTCTGCAGCGATGTGACTCAGGCCCTTGAGAGCTACATCTATTCTTGCAATGATATCATTAACTGGTATGTGTCTAGGTGTGACTGCAAAGTTTAGTCCTTTAGCTAGAACGGATTTCAGACCTTCAGAAATAGAACTGTTACTGCGATTAATTACGACTTTGTTAACATCTAGCTTTTCAATGTGTGGGTCCGGTTTCTTGTTTGAGAGGCGGTTGAATTTGGAAATCAAGTTGTCCTTACATTTAGTCGACATAGCAGCAGCCGAAGACGTAGTAATTTTATCTACATGTTCCCAATCCGATGTGGACATTGTTGCACTCAAAGACAAGTGTGATTTGTAGAGTGTCTTGTCTAACTGATCTAGTTCGGTGCGCGAAAGTCTGATTTTCTCTGAGATAAGAGCTAAGCTAGTACTAGACAGAATTCGTTTCGCATTAGAAGAAGTTACAGCAGCAGATGTTAGTGTAAATGCGTTTGGTATTACCTTAGAGTCGCGGCATCTCTTCAGAAAGGTGAGAAACTCGATTAGCTGAGCCTTCTTATCCCGGAGCTTGTTGAAGGATAACCAGTAGACATACACAGTGTACACACGATAGTCATACACACAGTGCACACACGGTAGACAGTGTACACACGGTAGACATACAGTAGATATACACACAGCGTATGCACAGTAGTCATACACACAGTATACACACAGCGTATGCACAGTGGTCATTCACAGTGCACAGTAGACATTCACACAGCGTGCACACAGTAGACATACACACAGCATACACACGGTAGACACACACACAATGTACACAGTAGACATACGCACAATGTACAACCAGTAGACATACGCACAGTGTACACACAGTAGACATACAGTGTACACACAGGACACAACACAGTGTAAACAAAGTAGACATACACACAGTGTACACACACATTTGTCATACACAGTGTACACACAGTATACATCCACACAGTGCACACACATGAGTCATACACAGTGTACCCCAAGTAGATATACACGCCTTCACATTGTTATTGTTGCCTTCCACGGTCACTGCTAACGATTGTGTTGTTAGGGGTCGATCACACACATACGCGCATGCTTGTGTAGTGCTCGACTTGACACGACAGCTTCTTGCTTTTCCTCTTTCTTTATTTCACCAACACCGATCAACATTTCTCCAGCTAACACCGATCAATGTTTCTTCCGCGCGTTCTCCGCTCGCTCGCCGCATTCCGCCGGCCTCACTCGCTCCCCATCTCTCCTCCGTCGACTCTCCTCTCTATTCTCTCCTTCAGTTCAGCCGCTCTTTATTGGCTCCGCCGTCACACTCAGTCATAACTCTATCAGCTTCTCCTCCCACACTCCAGCCGCTTCCTACTGGCTTCGTCGTCTCACTCCAGCCGTTTCTGCTGGCATCTCCGTTGCCACCTTGTACCTTTCCACTGCTACCCTACACTTCTCCACTGCTACTGGCTCCGCTGCTTCAACTCCAACCGCATGCTTCTCCTCCCAGGCGCAAATTCTCGTCTGCTCCAAAACCCCCTCTCTTTATCCCCCAGCCAATTAATCCAATCAATCGGTGGCATCGCCCGCGACGCCCTTCGCCCCCTAGCCCCCACTGGCACTCGCCGTGTTTTCCCAGACAATGCGGCGCCACTCAGCGACAACTTCTTGGCCAATCAGCGCCCTCCGTCCTTAATTGCTCCCTGCCACCTGCTACCGTCCTCAGACAGCGTGGCCCCACATCTCGACAACAACTTCCAGCCAATCAGCGCCCCGTGTCCTTATTTGCTCCCTACCCGTCTTCGGCCCTCTCCTCACGCCTAGCAACAGCAACACCTCGATCTCGTTTGCTCCCACTGTACGTCGTGCGCGCATACATCGACTTCAGCGTGTGGCGCGTATCTCTGGCACTACACTTGCATAGATTTGACTGCCGGGACGGCTGCATTTTTATTCGGGGGGGGGGGGGGGGATGTAGAGAATACGCGGTGCGCAGTTAACCAGGTGCAACTGAGGGCAACAGGTGTGCGTGTTTGTAGCATGATGTTTGCACTGACAAACTGCCACTAATTAAGGGGAGAAGCAGGTGCAAACAGGGTCGACCAGGTGTGCACGTTGAGACTGGAGGTGTTGCCGGGGAGACGGAAGATGGGGAGTGATGATAAGAGATTGTGACAACTGGCGCCGGCCTGACAGGAGCTGAAGTGGAAGCACGTGAGACCTCGGGATGAGCGGGGAGATATAAGCGGGAGTGTGTGTGAGCGAAGGGGTTGTTGTTGCCAGGGACGAAGAGTGAAAACATCTCGCCGCTGTCGCTCCAGCCGTCAACGGGACCTCAACCCTCACGCCGTCGCCGGGCGGGTGCTGGCTGATCACCCTGCCCGGGACAGACGGGTGAGCGGGTCTGTGGGAGCGTAGGTGAGGGCAGCTGTGTGCGAAGCTGCTGTGTGCGGAGTCGCTATGTGCGAAGACACTGGGTGCAAAGACGCTGTGCGGAGACGCTGAGTGCGAAGATGCTGCTTGCGGAAGCGCAGAGAGCAGAGCTGCTGAGTGCAGGATAAGTGAGGTGCAAATAGATAAGAGTGGGGAGAAGTTAAATATAAATTACCATACAGTTATAGGAGTGCCTACAAGTGGTGCAATAATAGGTGAATAAAGTGAAAGCAGGTGACTTGTTACCACGTGTCGGTGTGAGTAATTTTTTAAGACACTACACAATACTATCATTCATGCCGACTAAAATCCACATGGTCAACATGAGTGCCACTTAAATGTGTAGAGGAGTAGAGGAGAGTGGTGGCGTCGTGTGCGCTGTCCGGTGCGATGACATCACGGGACTGTGGGGTCGCGCGCGCTGGGCAGTGCACGTGGCGTCACGTCTCCTAGGGTATTTAAGGGATACCCCGTGACGTAAGCGGGGTCACTGTGGGAACGGGGAAAGTAAACAGGGTGAAGAGGGAACCAGGGGTAGAGAGAGGGATCGAATAGGGAGTTTGGGGAGAAGCCGGTGGTAGCCGTAGAGGTACTTCTCTCTCCGGTCGGTGGAGTCGGCAGAGTCCACGATCCGACACGAGAGAGACCGGAGCTAGCTGGCAGGGACCCGGACTCAGAGTAGGACCCCTAGCCCCTGGGAGTTGTGTACCCTGTGTAGTATTGATAAGCTTTAATAAACCCTGGCGAAAGCCCCTAACTTACCTCCCGTCTCCGAGTACGTACGTCAGGAACTACTCAACAAATGCACTCACATCTGAAGTCGCTGCTATTCTGACTGCTGAACATGTCACTCGAGGCATCGTCTTGCAACTGAGGAACAATACCCTACACAGAAATGAAACACACCGATCCAATGATGCTCTTCAATGTCTACTGATTTTCTGGCAAGGTGATGTCTAGATTTTCCTACTTTGCCAAACTGCTGTCGACATGCATGCCAAAATTGAAGCTTCGTTCGATTAAACCCACCAGATGGCAAAACATTCAAAATTGTTTATCCTGAAGCTCTCCAAGGACAACGTATTTAAAAGCTGTCATTATGAAACAAACAAGCCCTGTGATTGTATAACACAACCAAAAAACCGTGACCATATACACACATTTAAACACTTCATTGGTAGGATTCAATAATTAGAATAAAGCCAGCATTGCAAGACATTACTCTTAATGTTTGATTACTGAGACCTGTGCAAAGCCAGGTAACTTAGCTAGTACTGAATACTATACTTCCAATGAAAATGTGTGCATAAGTGGGTAGCGGTAGTGCAACGGTTTCCATGCTGCGCTATAAACCCAGCGACTTGATTTATATTCCCACAAAACAAAGCCACAACATTTGGCTGTTGCCTGATGAAGCTGGTTGTAATTACTGGCGAACGTCGTACCCAGATTGTAAAATGTTGTGGCTTGGCTCTCCAACACACAACCGGTGTGCTGTACTAGTGACGAATGGCCACATTCTGTTTACGAGACAAACCATACTTATTGGCTGTCGGGTGGTGGCGGGTTTAAGGACACCTTTTTATATTCACGCGATCTAACCCAAACAAACCTGTATTACGGATGTATATTTGGAGTTTGCGCGTCTCTCTCCCCGTGGTCGCGTGGATTTTCCTCTGGATCCTCCGGGTTGTCCCTCCACATTTAGAGTCAACATCACCACGCGTTTAGAGTATTTGACCGCTATACATTTCCACACGTTGATAAGCCACTTTGTTGTGGGGAAGTCGCTCCTGAAAAAGAGCGATATAGCTCAAGTGGGCTATGCCTGGTAAAATAATAAAAACTGTATATTTAAAAGAAACAAAGTTTAAAAGTAGTGAGCCAGGTGAAGACAAATTAAACTTAAGCAGAGAATGAAGGCAAATTCAATCAGGCAAGGGCAGGAGGCAAGGCCCCGTATGGCTAGGCCCCACGTTGTAATATTCCAACCTGGACATCGATTCCATCCTTGCTGCTACTCAATTGATATCCCTACGAGAGAGAAAGAGCGAGGCTCTAACTGGGTAAACAATAACTACCACAACCACGATGTGAACTTCTCACCTCGGATCTCAGTGAGTGCGCGGAGCTGACGCTTCCTGGTATCTCGTGACGTCAGAAAGCGGGGTTAGAGTTTAAGTTTCTTTAGATGCCTATTCCATTGCTCACTCTCTTGAACATTTAACCCTTGGGTGCGTGAGCTCAACAACGTGAACATTGTTTGTACACTCACTGTGTATACACTGTGTGTACACAATACGTCAACACTGCGTATGTGTGTACAGTGTGTGGGTGGTCCGAATCAGTCGGGCGGCATTATCTTTTCATCAGCTGCGCAATGCTGTGTTGAAGCTACCTTCTCGGTAGCTCCGCATGAAGATTCAAGTTTTCTCGGCCAGTCATGCCCTCCCTTCTCTCGGGATGTGAAATGTGGACCCCTCTAAATGGAACATCTGCGCCGGTTAGAAACATTCACACTTGCATGCCATGAGGGAAGTGGTAGGGCATTCTCTATTTATTGCAGAGGTACACACCCCTGGCTAATACAGTAACATTAAACAAAATATGCACTGTCTGCTTAACAGTGGATATAAAACATACTATTGTGTCATTCAAAACACGTAGGTCATTGTATGTTGGTGTCATTGCCAAAATTTGGGCAATTCCAAATATTATCCAGAAATTCCACAACTGTGATTACACATCAATTATTGCCCCCTACTGACAGACTCATGCCCACATGCAGGCTGGTACTGGGCCACCTTATGCCACACAGAGGCAGCTGCCACCTGGGGGTGCTCTTCGAGTGTTTGTGATGAGATATAATACAAACTCCGAATTGCTGAGGCAATTAAGCAACTTGAACACGTAAGCTTTCGCGACAAATATCATCCATAAGGTTTTTGGGGTTAGATTGTGTAAATATAAATGCGCTCTCTCTAGTCGTCTAGCATAGCCTAAACACAACCCTGACCATGTAACACCGATGGCGCTGACTGAGACAGCCAACAACTATCTGGCCGTGGATTATCTAGCCAAGGCGGCGACATGACAGCGACGACGAGACGAGCCCATTCCCAGAACCGGCAGCCCTGAGCTCCTGCTCTCAGCTGATTTTATGCTACCCAGCATGGCCTGACTCCGCCCTGGTCACGTGTCCCTTCTTGAACCCACTAGCAGGTTCCAGGGGGTTCCAGATAGGGTCTTCCGTGACCCTTGCCCCAGTTCTTCCGCCCTGCCGACACACCCGTGAAAATGGTCACCGGCGTGTGCACTGTTTGTCCACTGCAGTTGCCGTTGCTGGACAACAGATGGATGACATCCAGCAACTGCAACCGGTGGACAGGCAGAGCAACCCCAAACCCTGAGGAACACCACCAACACGGAAAAAATATTCACCACAAAAAAAACCTTGGTTGCAACACTTCCCGCAAACCGGAACCACATAGCGCAACCACGGCACTCCCCAATGGACCACCAACAAAAAGGACAACCCTCGGTGCCCCCCGCAAACCGAAAACATGCAGCGCAACCGCGGCATGTGCAAGAACGCTGTCATGGACCGCCCAACCGCGATGCCCCCCCCCCCCCCCGAGAACTGATAACGCAACCCAAACAACATACACAACCCCCCCGAATCCCACCTTACAAGGAAGAGTCCGCCTTTACCAGAACATAGCTGACGTGAGCCGATCCTTGACACTGGTCACCCCTGCCTTGGCAGGGTCTTGCATTTCTTGAGATTCCGAGGTATGGAAACAAAAAAACAATGGACTAAAGGGCACGGCCTCTCCCTGAATTTCACAGAAGCATCTAATCGGATCCAGCCCCTGACACGTCGCACACGGCGGTCTCGGAAAGCATCAGAGACTCGGATCTGGTAAAGCATAGGAAGATGTTGCCGGCGGGTCGGAATGCGTCAGTGGCGCTGCCAACACCCTGGCATTCTATAGCGATGTGGCCCAGCTGACCACACCTGAAACGCTTGGCCGTGGGACCCCAGGGCAGAGGGGGCTGCCCCGGTTGCCAACCCACCCGCGGGGGCCTTCTCCCGTGCGTCCCCAGGCCACATACCACAGCCACCATGTCCTCCTCCCGCCACGGCCAAGCCGCCACTTTGGGCCAATGCTGGTGGGCCTCGTGGCCCTAAATTTCGTGGGCCACCTTCAAAGACGTAATCCCCATGCCTTTGGCGAAGAGCAGAATGATCCCCGACTCGCACGCCAACAGCCTTTCCGCCGCCAAGGAGTCGAGCGCCGTCTCACCCATCTGGGGGTACGCCTTCCGCCCCCAGCACCAGCAGCGTCTCCCAGAAAGCGAAGGGCATCTCGGCCTCCCCTTGCTTCCGCTGGAGAATCTCGTGCAGCCATCGCGCGGTAGGCCAAAAATTGCCCCTTGCAGCGCCATCGCCTCCGGCGCCCCTCCAGCGCTGTCCGGTGCTCTCTGGAAAATAGTGCCCACCGGCCATGCCAAGCCCTCCAACGGGCAAAATGGCGCCAACCACATGCAGGGTCTCCGGCCCGGGCTCCTCCGCTCTCCCGCACTGACGGGGACCGCCGCCAGGGTCCCCTCGTGACTCGTTTCCGCGCCGCTGGCCGTGGTGCGCCTCCCCTCAACTCGGCGGTCCTCGGCCATGCCGCGTGCTCGGCACATGAGCGCTGATTCGCCGCTGCTCTCCCGCCGATCGGCAGCCGCTCTGCTGATCCATAGCCGCTCTCCCTCCGATCCGCAGCCGCTCACCCGCCGATCTCTCTCTCCACCAACGGGCTTTGTAACCGGGGTCCTGGGGCTGCCAGAGGGATGAATGTTTCACTGTTCCCATCCTCCGATGACACTATAGGTGGGTTCTTTATTCACTCCACTCCTGACACCAATTGTAGTGTCATCGTGGCGGGAGACAAGGTTTCTAAGGGGGCACCTTCTTTATCAACACCTTCACAGTTTCGCCATCGCACTCTCCCTAGTCGTCTAGCCTAGCCTAAACACAATCCTGACCATGTAACACCGATGGCGCTGACCGAGACAGCCAACAACTATCCGGCCGTGCAATATCTAGCGAAGACGGCGGCGAAGATGACAGTAATGACGACAAGAGCCCACTCCAAGAACCGGCAGCCCTGAGCTCCCGCTCTCAGTTGCCTCCCTTCTCGAACCCACTTGCAGGTTCGAAGGGCTTCCAGATGGGGTCTTCCGTGACACTTGCCCCAGTTCCTATATTATTTTTCCACCGCAGTTGCCGTTGCTGGACAACAGTCGGCGTTATTACACTACACTAGTACAGCACACCGGTGTGTTGGAGAACAAATCGCGTGGTGGCGGGTTTCACAAAATATTCATATTAACGCGATCTAACCCAAAAAAACCTCTTATGGGCAATTAAGCACCATATAAATGCAAATATTATCGTAACATAGCAATTGCATTGGGAGCTTATTGGCTCTCGCTCTTGGTTAGACATCTACCCAACTCACAGGTCTACAAAAACTGGCCACTCTTAATCTGTAGGTTGTACCTAGGAATTGAGTGTTCAACTTCACGTTCTTTTCATTAAAGGACTGTGCCAAAGGTGAATCTACTGGGGCTTCATTGTCTCAAGGTTACACATCTACCGGGTCTCCATTTGACTTTGTATTGTCTAAGAAGTCCACCCACACCTCCACTTCCACAAACTGCTGGGAGTTGCCTCGCTCTGCCTCACAGTCATAATTCTCCTGCTTCACGATGCATCCATTGATGTGAAGGTCCGATTTTGGAGTTGAATCTTCATCTTCACATTTCACTTTCACTTCTTCACTCTTCACTGTCACTTCACATTTCACCTTTTCATATTTCACCTTTATACCTTTTAAAGTCTCCAAGCTGGGATTATCTTGTGGTTCCCTTATCATGAAGGATGGGAGCATTGCAGCACTTTGACTTTCACAAGCCGATTTCAGACTCCTCTCCTTGGGGATCTTCTGATGACTGTGTGTTCTCTGGTGTCTTTGAAGATTTGATGACCGTACAAATGCCTTCCCACACAGAGTGCACTTGAAGGGTTTCTCTCCTGTGTGTGTTCTCTGGTGATTTTGAAGAGCAGTAGAACCTGAAAATGCCTTCCCACACACACTGCACTTGAAGGGTTTCACTCCTGTGTGTGTTCTCTCGTGGCTCTGAAGAACTGATGACTGTATAAACGCCTTCTCACACAGTGTGCACTTGAAGGGTTTCTCTCCTGTGTGTGTTCTCATGTGTATTTTTAGAGTAAATGCCTTTGAAAATGCCTTCCCACAAACACTGCACTTGAAAGGTTTCTCTCCCGTGTGTGTTCTCTGGTGGTTCTGAAGGCTTGAGGACTGTGAAAATGCCTTCTCACACACAGTGCACTTAAAAGGTTTCTCTCCTGTATGTGTTCGCTGGTGTCTTTTAAGATGTGATGACTTTGCAAACGCTTTATCACACACAGTGCACCTGAAGAATTTCTCTCCTGTGTGTGTTCTCTGGTGTCGTTTAAGAGTAAATGCCTTTGAAAATTGTTTACCACAAACACTGCACTTAAAAGGTTTCTCTCCCGCGTGTGATCTTTGGTGGATTTGAAGACCTGATGACCATGCAAATGCCTTCTCACAGACAGTGCACTTGAAAGGTTTCTCTCCTGTGTGTGTTCTCTGGTGTTCTTTAAGATATGATGACACTGCAAACAGCTTCCCGCACAGAGTGCACCTGAAGGGTTTCTCTCCTGTGTGTGTTCTCTGGTGTCTTTTAAGGTGTGATGAATCTGAAAATGCATACCCACACACACTACACTTGAAGGGTTTCTCTCCCGTGTGTGTTCTCTGGTGTATTTTAAGATGTGATGACTCTGCAAATGCCTTCCTGCACACACTGCACTTGAAGGGTTTCTCTCCCGTGTGTGTTCTCTGGTGGCTCTGAAGAACTGATGACCATGCAAATGTCTTCTCACACACAGTGCACTTGAATGGTTTCTCTCCTGTGTGAGTTCTCTGGTGCTGTGTCAAATTTCCAGAATGATCCATGCTGTTTGCATACTGGTCGCATTGTTGACTTTTTGTACCAAGCTGGGCTGCGTGCTTTTGCTTCATCAGACCAATTCTGCAGAGGCAGCATCAGCTGCGGACAGAAAAAAACATCAATAACATCTACGTCATTGTGCAGTCACAGACGAATGCATATATACACAGTCACATATGACTTACACGTCTATACTTATTCATATATTCATGAGAGTGAAAGAGATTCCCCAAAACATCACACGGACTGTTAAGGCACAAAATGCCAGGGCAAGTGGTCAGAAATATGGCTGGAAGCCTAAGCGTTTTCAAAATGAACGTTTACTCAAAACTCCAAGCACACAATTTAGGCTATCTGGCTATGAAATAAATATTTATTTAAGGAAATTTCAGTTTACATAGCAATGGGTGTCCAAAATACTACTTATATTATGCATTTATGTATAATTTAATGTTCAAATGCAAATTCGGTAAAGCCAGGCTAGATTTGCTTGAATGCTCAGATGAACATATCTAACTTCAGCTGCATATGTGCTGTGTTAATTTTATGACAGTTACCATGCTCATAAAAGTTCCAGAGGAAAACTAAAATAATCTATTGTTTTGATTTTACCTCTGTGTTCAAGAGTTAATATACTTTACAGAAAATACAAAACTGACACTTGTCACACACTGGCATGGTAAAACGGTGGTGGTGTGTCCAGAAACATGCCTGGCCGCCTTCATCTGCTCAGTATTAATGCTTCCTCACTTCACCAATGAATTAATTGAGGATCATTCAACATAGCGGAGGGCCACAATAAGTTCAGATATAACTTATCAATCATGTTTGCTATCAGCGATAATCAAAATCTAATTGTTGAGTTCATAATGCAGTGAAATAACTGCGCCACCGCTCCCCACATAAATAACTCTTACATCCACATCCATTGCACATGAATCAGTAACAAATTTAATAAACAGCCACCATTCATCACTAATTGTAGTAACCTTTTCACAGTGCTCATGCCATGATCGGTATAATTTAATGCCATTTAAGTGTGGATCACTTGTCAGCATGTCATGGGAATGATCCAGGTGTTGAGTAGTAGACGGAGGTACTCGGAGACGGAGGTGAGTTAGGGGCTTCCGCCAGGGTTTATTAACACTTATCACTATCCCTGGTTCCCTCTTTACCCCTTCTATCCCCGTTCCTCCAGTGACCCCGCTTACGTCACGGGGTCTCCCTTAAATACCCTAGGAGGGGTGATGTCACGTGCACTGCCCAGCGCGTGCGACCCCACGTCCCGTGATGTCACCCCACCGGACAGCGCACACGACGCCACCACTCCCCTCTACTCCTCTACATCACCCCCCCCCCCCCGTGAAAAAAAAAACAGCCGACCCGGCTGCAATCACCCCGCAAGCGGGGCCCCACACCGGACTGAAGACCGAATAATCACGAGTTCGTGTGCCTGAAGGTAAAACCGGCTGCTAGAAAACTCAACCTTAGGGCAGCACGGCCCCTCAAGCAGAACAGCAACAACAACCACAACAACAACAAAACTAAACAAATAGAGCCCGAAGGCCTCATCCGCCGGATAGCGCCGAACGGGCGCCAGGGGCTGGGCCCGCTGAACGGCCATCAGGGCCGTCACCGGAGCCGCATCCCCCTCGAGCGGGTATGCGCTGCTGGCCCGCTCCCCCGTGCGGTGTCCGCCACCCGTGCAGGTGGCCCGTCAGCAGGCAACAGGCCCACCGCCGTGGCCTCCGGTGACCGGGGGGTCTCTGTCGGCCTCACTCGGGAGGGGCCTGGGGGCACACACAAGTCGGACGTCACCTCCGTCAACGAGACCCGGCCGGTCAGGCACGCCGGATACATCATCAGCCGGCCGCTCCGGAATTGGGGGTGGATCCCCCAGGGTAGATGGAACATAACGTTTGAGCCGGGACGGGTGCACTATCCACTGCCGGCAACCGAACCGAATCCGGACGCATTGCGGCCGGCGGACCTCTACAACCTCCACGGGGCCCTGCCAAGGGCGATGCAATTTGGCCGATGTGCCAACGGGGACCTGGGGACAATGCAGCCACGCTTTTTGACCCGCTACCCACGGGAGGCCAGCTGCCTGGTGTTTGGGCAGCCGCTCATTAGCTGCCTGCCGACTTGCGAAATTCTCGGCAGCGGCCTGTCGCGCCTCGCGCAGCCGGTCAAGCGCGACCTTCAAAGGGGTCGGCACCGCCGACCCCTTCTTGGAGGAGCCAACGTCCATCTGGACGTGCACCGGGGGCTCCGGTTCCCTACCGTACATCAAATAAAAAGGCGAAAATCCCGTGGAGGCATGAGGGGCCAACCGATACGCCGCCAAGACCCCCGGGACGAACAGGTCCCAGTCTGACTGGGACGTGTTCACCTGGTGGCACAGCATGGACGTAAGGGTGCGTTCAAGCGCTCTACCATCCCGTCTGACTGGGGGTGGTAGGGCGAGGTGCGGATTTTCTTGGTGCCAAGGAGGTCACACACCTCCTTGAGCAACCTAGATGAGAAATTCCGCCCCTGGTCAGTCAACAATTGTTCCGGCGCGCCCTTGTCAAACACGTACCCCTGGACGAAGGCCTCGGTGATAGAAGAGGCCGACTGATCGACCAAAGGCCATGCCATGGGCCAACGTGTGAGGTACTCAACGCCCACCAAGAGGTATTTGTGGCCCCGTTGGGATGCAGGGAATGGCCCCAAAATGTCGAGCGCCACGAGCTCATTAACGCGAGAAACCCGGATGGACTGCAGCGGGGCCCGGTCCCGGACAACTGGGGCTTTCCTCCGCACGCAGTCGTGGCAACCCTTCAAAATCAGTGCCACGTCACCCTCAACACCCGGCCAGTAATAGTCCCGCTTAAGGGTCAATAAGGTCTTGTGGTAGCCAAGGTGCATAAGCTTCTCGTGAATGGCTCGGGTTAATTTACCACGCAGGCTAGTGGGCACAACCACACAATAGCGTTCCAATTGGGCATCCCAACGCATGAGGAGTCCGTCATGCACGGCGATCGCCGGGGCAGCCGACGAAGCTGAGCTCCGGGCCTTATGTCCGACACGGCGCCGTAGCTTCAGCAGAGAGGAATCCTCCATCTGCAAGCTGGACCATACCTTCCGGGGAAGTCCAAGGCCGAAATCCGCGTGCGCCGCCGCACCTGGAGGGGTGGCCGCCTCGGCCGACGCGACCAACTGGGCCGCGGCGTCCCCTGGGGCCTTGCAACGGCTAGAGCCCAGGGCGCAAGCACACCCGCCGCCTGCCGGCAATCGGGATAAACCGTCCGCATTTCCATGCTGTGTCCCCTTCCTGTGGATTACATCAAAGGGGTAATCCTGGAGCACTTCGAGCCAGCGAGACAGCTGACCCGAGGGCTGACTAATCTTCAGCGAATATTGCAGGGCCGCGTGGTCGGTTCGGACCGTAAATAGCCTACCGTACAAATATGGTCTATACAATTGAACAAAATAAACTATGGCCAAAAGCTCCCTCCGGGTCACACAATATCGCTGTTCCGTCGAGGACAGAACGCGACTGCCATAGGCTACCACCCTCTCAACCCCGTCGACCACCTGGGCCAGGACAGCCCCAATTCCCGTGTCGCTGGCATCGGTATCGAGCAGGAAGGGTTTCGAAAAATCCGGGTACCCCAAGGGCGGCGCATCCGCCAAGGCCGTGCGAAGCGCCGCAAAAGCCGCCTCCTCCTCCGCGCCCCAGTGAAACCTTTGGCCTTTGGCGGAAAGGGCGTGCAGTGGCTTCGCAATTGTCGCAAAATCACGGACAAACCGGCGATAGTACGATGCGAAGCCAACGAAGCTACGCACCTCCGCGACAGATGTGGGAGTCGGCCACGTCCGGACACAAGCCGTTTTATCCGGGTCCGTGGCGACATCTGACGTGCTAACAATGTGTCCCAAATACCTCACCGATGGTTGTAGCAAGTGGCATTTGTGGGGTTTGCATTTCAAGCCAGCAGCACGCACTTTGACGAACACCGCCTCAAGGCGTTGCAAGTGCTCGCCAAACGTACGGCCAAAAACAATAACGTCATCCAAGTAGATTAGACAAGACTCCCACTGCAGCCCCGCCAAGACCATCTCCATGAGACGCTGGAAGGTGGCCGGGGCCGAATGGAGACCCATAGGAAGCCGATTGAACTCGAACAACCCCTGGGGCATGCGGAACGCTGTTTTGGGTCTAGAGGCCTCATCCAGTGGCAATTGCCAGAAGCCGGAGAGCAAATCTAAAGTCAAAAAGAACCGCGCGCCCGAGAGGGCGTCCAGGGAATCATCCATGCGAGGCAATGGATATGCATCAGCCACCGAGATCTTTGTTCAATCTACGAAAATCGACGCAGAACCGGAGACTCCCGTCCCGTTTCTTGACTAGCACAATGGGGGCACCCCAAGGGCTAGTAGATGGGGAGATGATGTCCGCCGCCAACATTTCCTCGACAGCCGAGCGGACATGATCTTTTTCCGCTGGGCTAAGGCGGTGGGAATTAAGTCAAATAGGGGCCGCGTCGCCCGTGTCTATGTGGTGGTCCAAAAGAGTAGTGCGACCCAGATCAAACTTACTTTGGCTGAACACATCGGTGAACCGCTCGATGAGGTCGCGGAGTTGCCGACGTTCCCCGGAGGACAACGATGCATTCTCGTCGCACAACGTGGCAATCCATGATGCGTCGGGGTCCCCCGTGTGCATCACGCCCGCCACGACCCCTCCATCTGGGGCAGCGCTCTCGGGTGGAAGAGCCGGGGTCGCGTGTGCCAGGACGGCGCCGGCCGGGACTACGACCGGCAAGGGTCCCGAATTGAGGACCTGCAAAAAAAGGTCCTGGCCCCCCGACACGGCTGTCAAGGCGCCCACCAACCCCTTCGTCCTTGAAAAGTAGCTTGACGGGGACAGGAGGATACCCGTCTCCGTGGAGCCCATTACGAGCGGTTTGCGCAACCTAAGGGGTATCAGGATTTGTGACGCCGGTGGTACGGTCACCGGCGCTTTATTCAAGGCCCGTACACCGGCAACCAAGGGAGACAGGATGGTAGGCGATTGTAGGAATTGCAGCCGCCTCCCTGATGGCATTTCCACA